CTCCAAAGATTCTATTAGCACAGTCTTGAAATGCATGGTTAAAGGAGCTTCCGACTTTCTCATTAAGCCTGTAAGGAAAAATGAGCTGAGGAACTTGTGGCAGCATGTTTGGAGAAGAAAAACGGTATGTAAAGAGAAGAAAACACTTATAAATGGTTATCAAATTTAACCAATTGAATTAACACAAGTTGTTTTATTTTACTTGAATGATCAGCAAAGTGCTCGGAGTCATCCTCGGAATGAAGTTGTTGAAAATCAGAAACTTGTAGCAGCTTCTGAGAATGACACAGCAAGTAACTATTCTAGCGATAATCTGGATTCTGTTCAAAATGGAAATGACAAAGCTTGCAAGTCACAAGTAAGTGATATCTTCTGTGTTAACCTCATTTGACTGAGATGTATGAGCTCCATCATCCTGCACTTCATAGATTTTGATGTAACATGATTGATTATCTATATGCAATTTTATATGCCAACTTTAAGCTATTTTTTGTTACAGGTTTTCTTTTATCAAGAGAATAAATAGACTAAGTGAGATAAAATGCTGATCTTCTTTTGCGCTCCATGCCATCAAGTGCCTTCAGTTTTTCTGCAGATAGTTGATTTACATCATTTAAGTTTGAAAAGTATATACTTAACAAAATTTATGATAATGATGCATTATGAAATCACGTGAAGAATAACGTATTTCTAGATTAGACTGGTTTCATCAGGTTTTACATAGATGACATCTTCTGCCAACTTTTGTGCATAACTCTTGTCTCATGCCTTTCTTGATAGCTGATAGTGTGTGTATGCCAAATATGCAGGGCGTTACAGATATTAGGCATAAAGATGATTCAAATATGTGCAACAATGGAAGACATGAAGAATGTGTTGAAATGGTTGAAAGATCATTTATGCCAGAAAGTAAACCACTAGGTATGGCGAGCCATCCTTCTTCTATCAAATTTTGGAGTTATACGTCTCAGATTTGAACTGACAAACTATCATATGTAGTGAACATGACAAGCTCTGGAATGAGAACTTCTTCCGGCACTACACCTGACAGCTCAGTTGCTATTGGTTCAGAAGATGCCACTCTTTGTGCTGAACCAAGGGTTACGGCTAATGAAGTGCATCATGGATGTTTTAGTGCAAATAAGTGTACTGCTGATGAAGTTGATTTCCAGTTGAATGAACTCTATTCTGCTCCTTATACTGCTGAGGCTGTTGACTTGATGGGGAATTTTGAAAATTACTTGGCTCATTGTGACGGCCATTCTCACGACAGTAGAGAAAAATCAAATCTCGCTTCCAGGCTGGATCTTTCTTTGAGAACCTTTAATCCCAGTTGCTTAAATGATGAAGCGTCGTGGGAGCAGAGCATGATAAGTTATTCAAAAGCATCCGCCTTTTCTAAGTGAGTTTTACATTTCTGTTCTTTGACATTCTATTGTTGAATTGTCCTCTTTGCTTAGTGAATTCCTCTAATATGAAGGAGCAGTTCTTCATCGGGAAGAGAGCCCCAAAATTGTATCATTGTCTCAGTAGAATAGTAGTATTTGTACTCTTTAAACACAAAAAAGTGTAAATAGTGTGAGTAGCCACATTTCAACTACTGCATACTGCTGTTGGGGCAAGTTGAGATTTGTGACAATTCTTTATCAGGGGATGCAGCCTATTTTACTGGGTTCACTTTTAGCCCAGTATTTTGACATAAGAGTGTAAATAAACATTTGAAAAATTACTAAAACTTCAACAGTTATTAATTTATGAAACCATAATTTCAGTAGTGCAATGAATTCAATTGTCCAAATTTAAAGGTTGAACCAATCAAGTTTAAATTCTTTATTCCCTTCAGGTATTAGTCACACTACATAGCTTATGGTAGTAGCAATTTCTCTCTGACAGTTGTGATGCAATACTGGTGGCAGGGCCGTTCATGCATATTATACAGTAGGGAGAAAACTAGTATAAGACATCATTTAGGAAGCTATACGGTAGGGGTTGTTCCTTTCTGTTGCTCATCACTGACTCTATTCGTGGCTATTTCAGAAATCAACATCTAGAAAGTATCTGAGTTATGAAGAATGTGTAATATATTTAAATTTGAAGGCCTCTATGTGCATGTTTTTGTTTCTAGCTCTAATTAATGACCAAACCACTGCCCAGGAAAATTTTGAAGATTTAGATGGGTATCTCTTAAGGAGTTAACTAACTACAGGTTACTAATTTTGTCGATAGCATGAAGGAAGAAATTATTGTACAAAAATAACACATGGGACAACCAGATATATGCTGTAAAAGTGTAGTAATTCTTTGTCCAGGAAATATTTTGAGGCTGAATATTATTATCTTGTCGTGATATATGGTAAGAACCTCCATTAAATTCTTATATCCAAGATATACTAAACCAAGTCATAGTATAACTGTTTGTATTAATGTTAAGCCTAGCCACTCATCTTTCTTTATTGGCATTTTTAAGTTGAAACCCCAATAGATCAAGGTTGGAAAATTCACCTTTACTGTTTTGAGTGTATGGAAAGGTGACTTAGAGTGTGTAATGATGCCTTCTACTTACAAAGTCACAGTTCTAATGAAATTATCTTACCTTATCACGTAAAAAGAAGACTCAGAATGCCCTTATTTGCTAGTTTAGTTATTTATTGCTTTCAGGCTGATAAACCAAGGCTTCTCATATTTTATCCTTGATGGCCTCCCTCCCTCTAGTTACAAGTCCAATTGAATGTTGTTTCTCTGCGCGTCTTCTCTGAGAAAAGACGCAAGTATATTATGCCTATATATGAACACTAGTACAGCAGTAACTTGCAGTGTGACCAGTTGAGATTATTTAGTAATTTATCTGCCTAAAATATCTTACGAAATTCCTTAACTGCTTAAATTAGTTTCCAGATGCTATCTGAAAATTGACTAAACCTTCTATTATGTCAGATATGAAAATAAGATGACGGTGCAACCTCTTTTCTCTGGATTGAGTAGCAATTCAGCTCCATTGAAGGAAGGCTCTAGTGCCTCTACTTGGCAGCATGATGCTTCATTGACTGAGAGTCAGGAAAATGAAACAGCTTTGGTTATGCGCCAACCGGGAAATTGTAAAGTTGCACTATCGGGCACCCAAGTAAGCTTCATTCCGGTTGACAGGGTAAGGTCTGGAAGTATGGCTGCCAGTGACATTCAGATAAATGCTTCAGTATACAATACACAATCAAGTTCTCATCATGTACAGAGCCCTCGATCACAGTCTCCACTTCCAACAAGTTCTTTGACTTATTCAACTTCCGAAGGTCAAAATATGGAGCATTACAAACAACCATTTGATGATACTACAGTTCACTCTGAGGAAAATGTGGAAGAAGAAGATGACAGAAATTTAGTAACAGTTGAAAAGGCAAGATATGATACTGCAATTTGTGAATCTAGTGATTTGGGAGGTGGCATGAAAAACAAGCTCAGTAGCTCTCATTGTGGAAGTATTTCTGATGAAGCTGTTGAAAGTTCCTTCCCAGTTGTTAGTCCAGAGAGAGCTCCCGTTTCTGAGAGTGTGAATTACAATGATAGGACAGGATCAGAGAATCACAGCACCAGCCAAAGGGAAGCAGCACTCATGAAGTTTCGGTTAAAACGGAAAGATAGGTGCTATGAGAAAAAGGTATACATAACCTTAGTGCTACTTCCATTATCTTTTTCATCAATTCTATTACTACTTTGGTTATCTTTACCTTTTTCCTGCCAATACTTTTTTGCCTTTATTTTCTTCTTCAGACCTGTTCTGAAAACAGTTTTCTTGACCTGAAGTCTATCTCAAACAGTCTCTACCCCACAAAAGTAGAGGTAAGGTCTAGGACACCCCCACCCTCCCTAGACCCCACTTAGGAGACCAGATTGGGTATATATGTTGTTGTTGTCGTTTGTAGTGCTTTTATTCAACTTAGATATATTGCATCAATTTTAAACGAGTGCAGCGTTAACTAGTCTATATTTTCTAGATAGATAGTTTAGCGGAAACGAGTGCCATTTCTATTGGTTTTTGACCTTGCATATATTTGAATGATCAAATAGTAGACATAAACCACAAAACTATTCATAAGTAGACAACATTTCTTTATGTCCTTTAATATACTGATATCATTTTTGTACAGGTTCGATACGAAAGCAGGAAAAGACTTGCAGAGCAGCGACCGCGAGTGAAAGGACAGTTTGTTCGTCAGCTACAAAACGGAACTCAGCCTTTGTCGAAGCACAAGGACGAAATGCGAATAGTCCTCCAATGAGAAAAAAATAGTTATTAGTCAAATGTAGCATAGCCATTAAGATAGATATACAGGTTTGTAGTTTTTGTGTGTTGTGTTATGTGTGTAATGTCTTTTAAGCCTGAGAATTAGGGGATTGATGATAGTTGCAACTCAAGATGTTTCAATTTTTATTTAGTTATTGGTTCATGATGAACTTAGCTAAGTAGGTGAAATTTGTCTTGCATTTGAGAGGAAGTTTGAAATGTTTAATGGTGAACTTTGCAAGTATTTGTAGTTTGGGCAAGGAACTTGAGAAATTCATTTGATTTGTGTATATATAGTTGCACAAGAATATTAAAAGGAGAATTCTTCATGTTTTTTTTTTTAATACAATCTTTACCATTTCAAATATATATAAATATAAATTTTGTCTATAAACACCTTTCTATTTCACGAAGATAGAAGAAAGATGTGAGCATAATTCATTTTCTTAAAATTTTTTAAGTATGTTATTAGACAACAAAAATTCAAATTTGATTGTAGCTAGTACGTAAATATATTAAATTTGTGTATACGATTGAATCTATCTTCGTTGTATCATTAAACAGTTGAACTTACAAAATTGATGATTTAGTAGCAAAACTATCAAATTGGTCCACGGCAACTCCAAAACCAAATGTCACGAAACTAATTAAGTAGCAAAAATGGTGAGGAATTCCATTTGCTAGGTGTCATCACATCATAAGACTCCACCGTTACACATAACACAAAATTACATATTAGTCGGCAGCTACTCGTCAAGAATCTTCTTCCTAAGCTAAAGTAACAAAAAACAATAGAATTTGCATTGAAAACAACGAGCAAAGAGAGAACCTAATTCCCTTCTCTTTTTATTTTTCTTTCATAGATTCTATCTTTTTTATTCCACCTTTTCTCACCACTATCACTCACTTTAAAATTCAAACACAAATCTACTTGTTTGTTTTAATTACATTTGATCATTTTATTGTTCATGTAAGGTTGGTTGATCAGGTAAGCCTCCATCTCTTATAATTTTCTTGTGGTTACATTAATGAGGTCTTTTTCTTTTCATGTATCTAACTTTATATACAGGTCAACATCCACTTATGACTTGATGCAAAGAAAATTAAGACAAGTATACAAGATTAGCTAGAAGAAGTTTTGGAGTGAGTTTTTTTTTTTTTAAATGATAAAATCTTCACCTACTAGTTAGTGCTTATTTTAATTGGAATTCACTTTCTTTTTCGATATGTAAAACTTATATACAGGTCAAACATCGACGTAAGAGGCAAATTTGTAGACAAAATGAGTGATTATGACCAACAAAAGATTCCAAATGAAAGTGTTGGTTATCCTCAAAAACCTTCTCCTATAGCAATATCCTCTAATGATCCAAGTAGAAGAAGTCCAGCCAAAACTTTGTGCGCTTTGTTGTTCATTTTAGTCATCTTGGCTGGCCTTGTTGTGCTCATATTATGGCTAGTTTATAGACCCCACAAACCAAATTTCAGTCTAGTTGATGCTGCCATATATGATTTAAATGTAACATCCCCTCCTTATATGTCAACCAGCATGCAATTCACAGTGTTGGCAAGAAATCCTAATAGGAGAGTTCGATTGGATTATGACCAATTTTCAGCTATTGTTTACTACAAGGGTCAAGCAATTACACCTCCAGCTCTGCTTCCACCTTTATTTCAGGTAAAAAATAAAAGAAAATTTGACTTTCTTTGATACATAATTTACTCAGATTAATTTTGGCTCGTAATTTATTTCAGAAAACAAAAAGCACGGTGATATTATCGCCGTTGATAAGAGGTGCATCGGTACCTGTGTCGGTGGAAGTAGCAAATGGATTACTGATAGATGAAGTTTATGGAGTTGTGGGATTGAGACTAGTTCTAATGGGGAAAATGAGATATAAAGCTGGAATTATAAAGACTAAACACTATCAAGTTTATGTCAAATGTGACATGTTGGTTGGCTACAAAAAGGGATTTATGGGTCAAGTTCCTTTGCTTGGTTCTTCAGATTGTCAACTTCATTGATGAACTTTTGTTAAAAGTCTACTATGAACTTGGAGATTTGTTTCTTCTTATATCAAACATGTAATCATATACTTGTATGTTCTCATTCCACCTCACCTTTATTTTGTAAACAAAATTTCAATTAATGCATCTTCTTCTCCTTTTACAAATTTAAAGTGAGTTTTACTTTTTCTTTTTTTTTTTAAATAATATTATTATGCTTGAAAAATGTTGGAATATTGTTAGGGCTAGTTTGTTTCTTTTTCAACACTCCGGTAATGAATTGTATTTTTAGAAGTGTAACAAAAATAGTTGGTGTAAATATATAGTTTTAAACATATTATAAATTTCATTATTAAAATTTTAAAGATAGAATTCAAAATTCGAACTCTTTCTTTAAAAGATAGACGTTGTTTCCTTGTGGCTCCTGTATTTAAAACATTGAAACACAAATTTCACTCTCTTCTTCCGCCTCTCTTTTATTTCGCTTGTCACTTATCTAGGATATTAAATATAATGTGTATTACTCTAGATAAATACAAATACATATATTATATATTTAAATTTGAGATACATACGAATTTCAATCGTCATCTTTTTCTAATTTGCTAGCTTCTCTCTCTATATTATGTATTTGGTAGCATAAATATTTGTATTTGAATGTGAGAAACGTAAAAAACTCTTAATTAATGGTAAGGTATATAATATTTTAAAAGTATACATGATAGTGAAATAGTTTTTTCAATATTGTATAAGTGCAGATATACTTATTATACATAAAAATACAATATATTTTACTATTATTATACTTGTGAATATAATATATTTTGCTACATAAATATCTTATATATACGAATATACATGAATATAGTGTAGTGTAGTTCACACAAATATATCATATTCTATTACATAGATCTTGTATACACACTAAAGCACCTTCACTATTATAATCTGTACAAACTACGTCTCGTAATTAAGCAAAGCAAAATTTCACTATTTTTTTTTTTTTTTTAAATAATAATCTAAATAGAAATAAATAATATCAAACAAGTACTACATTTAAGAAAACCCAAATGTCCAATGAAATAGCACCATAAATTCCCTATCCAAAGCAGATAATGATAGGGTTCATTCCAGAAAGGCATAAATGGGTGGTTCTTATTACTTTTGAGACCTCCAAGATATCTTACATTTCACTAAATATTTTTCAAAATATCCCAAATTTTAATTTTTCAGAAAAAATATAATATATTCTTCTTAAAATTCAAAAATTAGCCATTTATTTGGTACTCATTACTCATCAGGAAAAGAAATCTTGTTTATTTTATTTTTGGTGAGTTTTTGATTTTCAATTAAGTGAGAAGCAAATGGCCTCAACAACTACCCCTTCACTTTCTCTCTCTTCTTCATCGACCCTCGTCGACGGCAAGACAACTCGTCAGTCTGCAGCCGTGGCATCGTCGCAATGTGTGACACTACCAACCCTTCCGCCGCGGCCGGCCGTTCAAAGCCGTGCTGCCAGAACCACTGCTTACTGTAAGTAACATTTAAATTATCCCGGAATTATAGTACTTGAACTAAATAATCTCAAATTTCATGTTTTGGGTCCTGTAACCTGTGCTTGATTGACTCTATAAATTTTATCAGGTCACCCAAATAATCCTTTATTCCCTTCACCTTTTATAGCCCATTCGGACTAGCCTCGACTAACTTCAGGACTAGCACTTATTGGTTGCTCTGCTTTGGAAAAACATGGATAGAAATCACCTATTATTTTTACCTGCACTAGCATTTGAATGTGAGACCTTATAGTGCTTGTTGAACTGCCTCTGTGAGACCTAAAGGAAGTAGCTTCTCTGTTATTGAAAACATAGTTTAAAATATTTTGTTTATAGGACAATTAATAACAAAAGTTAGAAATATAGTTTGAAATTGTAAGAGTTGTAAAGAAACATACTGGATCAAGCATTCAGAAAGAATGTATAAATTGGATTGGAGGAAGTAACTTGTAGTGTATACTAAAAAGTTAGTAGTGTCTTTTGTTAGTGAATGTTGGCTACTCCACTCACTCATTGCCTTAAGGTTACCTTTGTAATTCCCTTGATGCGGATGTGCTGTGATGCAGGTAGAAAGATTGCAAGGAATGTGGCCGCAATGGCTACATCAACTGGAGAAGTTGCCACTGCAGATGCCACAGCTGAAACGGCAACCACTGAGCTACCATCAGAGCTTGTCCAAAAGATTCAAGAAGTTGTAAGGACATAATACATACTACTTGCCTTTTCAACTTTACTTGTTTCTTGATTTTCTCCTCCTGAATATTGATACCTATCTGATTTCTTCTTTTAGTGGGACAAAGTTGATGATAAGTACGCAGTCAGTTCATTGGGCGTTGCTGCATTTATTCTTCTTTGGAGCTCCACTGGAGTGATCTCGGTACTGCTACTAATTGCTACCTTAAGACTTTTTTAGTTCCATTTTAGTTCAGGTGTTGCAAACTATAACAAACTTTGACAAAGGGACTTGCTTAATTGTGGCAGGCAATTGACAGGCTTCCTTTGATTCCTGGTGTTCTTGAGCTTGTAGGAATTGGTTACACCGGTGTAAGTTGAAATATTTTCACTCTTAGCCACTACTCTGTATGTTGTAACCTGAATGCTATAACCAATAATTACACTGATAGGGTAAAAAATAAACGTTATACTTAAGTTAAATCCTTTCTTTGAACCATATTGCATAGGCATTAGCATCAGGCTTCATCAATGCTTGTTTGGTTAAACTTTGAACTATATAATCGATTACCATGTTATCTTGACTTCATTTACACGTTTTTGGGGGATCTTCCCTTCCTCTGCAGTGGTTTGCCTACAAGAACTTGATCTTCAAACCTGACAGGTTATTTCCGTTCCTTTGTATATGAACTAGTGGAAGTTAAGTTTATTATTCATACCTTTGTGTGTTCATCCTAGCTTACCTCTCTTCTTATTACCTTTTGCTGCTAACAGAGAAGCTTTGATAGCAAAAATCAAGGAATTGTACAAGGATATTCTTGGGAGCAGCTAAATGGAAACATAGTCCGATGCTGCTGCAGAGACATGGTCAAAATAGATTTCAGTTGAGCAATCTTGCAGCTTTGCTCTTCAAAATGTAAACTCTGCTTCGATCTTTTGTCTTTTTATTCTAACAGAATAAAACCCAACTGAACTATGTCTATATATGTGCTTATCTGTATATTGTCTTTTCATTTCCTCACCTTCAATATGTTCTCATTAGCAGTTGGAAGTTAATGTATATCAAATGCTTTCAAGTAAATCCATATCTTTGCTAATTCAATGGCTTAAAAGAACTTGTGCAATAAAACATGTTACTATGGTTATATAGTCCAATAGCTATACATCCAAATCGTGAAGAGGCAATGCCTCATCCTAGTAGGGGTGGAGGGACTAGGGAGGTATGGGCTCGGCTAAAGCCAGTATCTTTGGCTCAAACTCCATGTTTGTTACAAAAGTTGATTTGAATTTGTACAAGTTACTCCTAGTAACTTGAAAAGATTAGAGTCTAGAACCCAACAACAACAACTGGATGCATATCCAGTGTAATCTCACAAGTATAGTCTGGGTAGGGTAGAGTGTACATAGACCTTATTCCTACCTCGTAGAGACAAAGTGTGGTTTCCTAAAGCACCCCAAAGCAGTTTGAAAAAGGAAATATGAAAATAAAAATAATAATTAGGGGTGTCAAATGGGCGGGTGGTTGAAATTTAAAATATTACAATGGGTTGAATAGAAATTGGGTTGGGTCTCGACCCGCCCAAGTTTACTTTGGGTTCAAATGGGCTAAAAAACGGGGTTGGTCTTGACCTACCCAATTTGATCCGATTAATCTCAATAATTTAACATATTGATATATAACTTTTATAATCACAATTTGAATTTCGGCTCAAGAATTTTTTGTTAAAAAAGTAACAAATTGATAGATAAATTCTAAAAGATGTTAAATAGATAATAATTCATACTTTCAATATAGGAACATATCTTAATAAATTTTTTTAAAACGGGTTGAAATTGGAGATTGAATTGGGCTCAATTGAGAATTCTCTTTGCTTGAATGGGTTGAGATTGAACCCATTTCAAATTATCTTGAGCCCAACCCTTAAAATTCTGGGCGGATTGGACGGGTTACGTATGTTTGGGTTCATTCTTTTTTCTGAAAACTAAAAAGGAAGGCATCATATCAAATGGAACAGAGGAATATATAAATATTATTAAGACAGAAGTTACAATGAGTTAATGACATCCTCTCAAACTAGAGAAACAAACAAGTAGTAATATAAATATTATTAGGAATCAACGTCAAACATTCAAGCTGGGCTAGTTTATAAATTCCAGTCCCAGAGTGCCACGAAAATACATAATCATAAGAGCGAAGTAGGTTGTGGAAATCTACTTGTAAAATTCCATGACCCAAAAATTACAGACACAACATATTAGGTTAACACCTTTGAATCCAGCTTCACTTGCCAATGCCCGAAACTCCTGTTCAGAACGCTCTTTACCTCCGGGATTCTGAGCCATCATGATCAAATCACATTGTGAAACTCCAACCACTGTGGTATCAGTATCAGGTTTCACTGGTAGATTGGCCTCCACAACAATCACCTTTCCGTTGTCCGGTAGAGCCTTATGACAGTTCTTCAGCAATTTGAGGCAGTGACCATCACTCCAGTCATGAAGGATCCACTTTTCATCAATAAACACAGAATGCCCTTATTAATCATAGGTTATAGATACTATTGGTGAAGAACAGGAATGCAAGACTATGCAAGTAGTTAAGTTCCAGCTGACACAAGTTGTGAGCGACTTCTTTTTTATTTCATAAATCGGTCAACCCAAAGTTTGTGAACCCAAAAGTATTGAATTTAGGTCCGCTAATTTGTGAAACAAAAAGAAGCGTTACATAACTCGCATCGGTTATGTGAGGAACAAAATAAAGTTTGTTTGACTGAACACAAAATCTAAGAAATTAAAGAAGACTTTCGACATGTAAGCCAAATATATGCACAGTACATACATACAGCCTCTGCTAAAGATTTGGACATTACCTTCATAAAAATAGCATCTCCTTGTGGAACACTTTCAAACATATCTCCCCCAACATGATCCACCCCTGCAATATTTATTAAGACAAATTCAGTTCATGTTAGGAAATTGAGAGCTACCATTTTAGAAATCTATCGATTAAAGAATCTCGTTATTATTTTAAACCTCGTATTATAATCTCTGTATAACTTGTTTGCAAACAAAACAATCCAATGAATTGTAATTTAAATCTCTAACATTGAAACAAAGTATAAATCTCTAACATTGAAACAAAGTATCAAAGTGAACAATAAAACAAGAATTAAGGTACCAGGATAGGAAGGTGCATGTTGAACAACATGAGGCAAATCAAAATTAGTGCCCTTAATTGTGGGGTATTTAGATGTAATCATCTTGAGATTAACACCAAGACCACCTCCAACATCAACCAAAGTTTTGAGATTCTCAAAACCTTTGTAATTTTCAAGTATTCTTTTCATGACAACAGTTGTGTGGTTTATCATTGCCTGGTTGAAAACATCATTGAACTTTGGGTCCAATTTTGGATATTCAAATGCATGTACACCATGCACCCTGTCAAATGGAACTCCACCTTCAAGTACTGCATCTTTTAGTTCAAACCTGTAATTTAAATTAGATAGAGAGAGTCAGAAATACAACTACTATAATTACGCCTCAGTCTCATCTGGAAGCAATTAATTCCCAAGTATCCAGCAGACAATATATTCAGTGTAATTTCACGAGTATGAGTCTGATAACATACGTACTCTAACTATCCAACAATTTCTTGAAATTATAGTGTACCCTTGATCTTTGGCAATTGAGTGGACACATTCTGTTAGCAATTTATATGCTAACTTGAACCAGTTGATGTATTTGTTAACATGATAACTGTAATTAACTTACAAATTCCATTAGTCTCATGATCACATCACTTTACACTTGATCAGAAATCTTTGATTCGAGCTAGGAAATAGACTCATTCACTCTGTCATAGGTCCTATGCATCATGGATTTTAATTGGTCGGCCTAGTGAGTTTTGGATACCAGATGGTTCGACAGGAAAGCATTAATATTCTGAGATTCCTTCATGAAGTAATATATAGGAATAATTATCTATTTGGCCGCCCTAATATAATAGCCAGCAAAGATACATGTTTTGTATATTAAGAATATAATGAAGGGATCAAAAAAGGGTCTTCAACTTTGCATGATATATCCACCTGACTCTGACTCACTTATATTGTGAGAAAATCTCTAATATATACTCAATTTGTTAGGTTATACTAGGATGACCACATACAATTGACATGATAAAAGTTTGGTTAAAAAGAAAGATTGCTGCAGTAAAAAGAGAAAACTGACCAGCTGTTAATGAATACTTTATCTTGAAGCAAAGCCAACAATGGTCCCATGGATGCACCATCTTCATCACGTACAAAAAATTTCCCCACTCGTGACAGACCATAGCGCCTTTCGGTCACCCCATTTCCCTCTTCAACAACCGAGCAATCGAGTAAAGAATAACTAGCTAGGACATAAAGCATCCGGTCTAGCATGGTAGCGGCATCAGGGTTCTTACAGTTAGGCATGTGAGACACAATTTCTAAAGCAGATAGTTTAGTGGCGGCTTTATCTTTTGCGAGTATGTCAAAAACATCCAATTGGATAGTTGAGTGCAAAACGAAGGGAAGCACTGACGATGAGAGTAGTTGCATGGCGTACGTGCAATTACGCTCTTCGTCTTCCGATTGTGTTGCTAACTGGATATTTGCTGTCGATCCCATAGCTAAAAAGAACTTAGAGATGAACAAGAAAATGTTATTTTTGCTGCTTGGAGTGTTTTGTTAGGCCTCAAGATGATGTATAATGGGGTTAGACTACCCTTTTATAAATATCAAACCAAGAATTGTTGTTTTGTCAAAGATTGGTCATAATTGATTTCTTGGTGGGAATATTAGTAATGCGTCTGCTTTTCATTCGTTTTTTGTTCTTTTTCAATTGCATAGTGGCATTCTATCTGTTCTGATTTATTTAAAAATTAATTTGTTATTAAATATAAAAATATTTTCTTTTTTTTTGTTTACTGATGAAAAAGAAAAATAATTATATAAATGGAGACTAATGAAGTATATATCACTCCCTCTATCTGCCTAATATTATTATTTTATCTCACGTTCATGACTTGAAAGCAGTATATTCAGTTCAATCTGAAAATTGTAATAATAACATCTCGAAGCAGCAGTGGATCGCTCCATTTCCTTCTTCCATTGTGCACAGTTACTTCCTGTATATGTGAGTTGGTGGTATGTTTTTTTTTTTGTTTACTGTTTGGATTAAAAATTATTGCTTTTGGTAAAAAAAAAAAAGTTAGTGAAGCATAAGGTCCACTAAAAAAGTGGAGAGTAGGCCACTTAACATGTGATTGGCTGTCTGCTTTACTGAACAAGAGAATTCAGTCATTTTCTTCATATTTTCCTCATACAATATTACTATAACATGTTTTCTTCACCTAACCATCATATTAACATACAATTAGTTAATTGACTCTTAGATAATTAAATACATAAAGTTTGTTTTATCTCTTGACTTTTAACGATGGATATACAAATTCCTATTGTATTCTATTAATTTACTTCTCATTACTTTATCAAAATTGTGAATACAAACAATGTAATTGTCTAGTTGAAGTAGAATATCGATATTTACAAATTTTATTTCTCTATTATATTGTTTAATATGTTCAAGGTTGATATGACCACATTAATATATGAAGATACATTGAATTGCTGTTAGTTTTTTTTGAATGTATTACTAAATTCTAACTAACCCCTTCTATTTAATGATGACATATGAAGATACATTACATGTGTTATTTTTTTTTTTTTACCTTGATACGTTGCTTGTTGAAATTTGCAAGAAAGAGTCTTCAACTAGAGATTTTTCTTTTTTTTAAAAACAATAAATAAATAAAATCTTTGTTTGGTATAACAAAAAATAAATATGTATGTATATATCAAATCATGAAATCTCCTTTATGATTATTCTTTTTCAGTCCACTTTTTCTCTGTGATGATTTAAAGTTGTTGCACCTAACATTACTAGATTTATTTTTTCAATCACTTTCTAGATGGAAAGATAACCTACTTTAAGGTTTTCTTTTAGCTTCCTAAGTAAGTGATGTTTACCATTTTGAATGATTCTCTTGTCACTTGAAATAATCCTATTAATGCTAAACTTCTATTAATTCTAAACCGAATTCCACCAAAAGAATTTCGTGACGCTACTTATAGTCCCATTAACTAGTATCTTGGCTAATGTGCTTTAACAAAATGGTATCAACACTACATTATTTTTATGTAAAAATATCCAGTTCACAAAAATCACATGTACATCTACAACATTTAACCACAACTTTTCTAAAGCACAATGAGCCTTTCAACAAGACATTATGAACTCTAATTCTTAACAATTCTAAACCACAAAATTATGAACTCTAATTCTTAACAACTCACAAACCTCTCAAGATATATGTCCTCAAATCTTTAAGTTATCCCAACTTGAAGATTATAATCCAATAACACACTAAAATTAAGATTTGCATTAATATTACAACTCAAATGAACACATGAAGGCTAAAACTTGTAGTTGCATTAGGACCTGATTCTTCAATGTGTTCCTTCAATAGTCAAACAACATTGGCGAAGCCAATTGGTTTTTGCTCTGTGAGTGCACACCTTGTTCTGAGTGACTCTCAAGCACAACTCTTCAGAGTGTTACTCAAAACTCTCTTGATTTAAAATTCTACATCAAGTAAAGTTCTTTCTTAAAATCAAACTCCTTGATTTCAGTATTTCCTTGACTTAATCCGAAGTAACCATTATTCGTTTATTGGTTTTTGCACGCTTATCTTTATAATGTTAGTACAGTATATATATATATATATGACCTTGTTACAAATTCAGCTCCTTGTAACAATAAGTATTATGTGAACTAGTTATATAGGGAACCTAACAGTGAGGTCCATATGCAATTGCTAAGCCCATATTCGCTGAGTTCTGGCCCAAGTATGTTCCATTTTATTTTGAAAGTTAATGGCTAAGTGGGCTCATAAAATAATGCCACCCGATACCTATATGCCTTCTTATTTCATGCTACAGATTACTAGTATTTCATATTCTACAACTAAACCCCTTAAAATTTGTACAACATCGGGTTTTATCAAAATTTCTCTCCAAATGCCTATCTTTATATCATGTTGAAAATTGATATATAGAAAAAATTTTTGGAGGGTTGGGGGAGTAGATTATCATAGATGTGTTATGTATATTGATGAATCTACTTGATTTATATATACATATTTTGATACCATGTTATACAATGTGTATAAAATGATTACGAGCAAGCCTTATAATGTGGTAGAATATTGATTGTCACTACTGTAACATTTAGGAAATACTACATCTGTCATCAAGATGCACCATGCATGTGTTCACTTGCGTTTTCTTGGAGGAAAAAAAAAAATCCCTCAGGGCTAAAAAAAAAGGGGGTGGATAATAAATTTGTTGACTATTTGGGTTTGGATTTCATTTTTTATTTTATAAAAATATAAATATAGACACTCAAAAGAAGATTCGTGAACTATATTTTTTTTAAAAAAGCAGTCGCCAAGTGGCGTTTTGTGCAACCACAATTTTTTCAGTAGAAAAATTTTGACTTCACGAACTTCCTTCGCAGAGTAGTCAGCACGCGCTCTTGCCAACATTCCACGTCATCTGTATTTGATTACGTGGCAGCACTTTTAATACCCTTTTGTTATATAAATAAACTGAGCGAGTTAACTCACTTACTCGGTTTCCAATTGAGAGTCCAACCCAGTTTGTGGTTGAGATTACGATTTGTAACCCTTCCGCTTTCTATCGTTTCGAAAAAGTGCAACCTGGGTCCCACCGAATAGACTGAAACCACTCATTTCAAGCCACGTGGAATTTCTTCTACTTGCTCTTCTCTCTTATTCATTTTCTAGCCTCTAATTTATTTCCTATTTATTGAAATTGAATCAACTCCGAAAAATACTAGTGGCTGAGATTTTTCTTTGAGATTTTATGGGAAATGAAAAACCTCTTACCTGTACTAGTTTAGTGCTTGCTACCTCTGCCTCAAACCTGCTTCCTTCCTCTTCATACTTTTTCTTCTTCTTCAATTATTGATTAATTTCTACTTGTGAAATGGTTTTCTCCGATCTACCATTGCTGTTGGATGACTTTTCACTTCATGCATGACCGAAACAACAACTAGTGTTTGTTTACAACATGGCTTTCTTCGAAGGTAATTTTATTTTTGTTTATATATCAAATATCTAGGGTTTATGCTTCGTTTTTTTTTTGGTTAGATTTAGATTTGAAGTTGTTGATGATGAATTTTGCAAACTAGTGAGTTGAGTTTGTTGGTTTGTTTATCACTGATTTGTTTTTGATTTGATTTCTGTAAAGGTTTAGGCATCATGCGGTTCGTTTTGGTGAGCAATTCTGGATAAAGGAATTTTCTGTCTACATCTATGCTGGTGGACTCTGATTTAATAAGAACAATTATATTTTACAAAATGAAAAAAAAATAATTAATTTAGCAGAAAGTAGTACTTACTTGCTGTATATTTAGAAATCTGGAGGAAGGTCTGAGATTATTTATTTTTATTTTTTCAAAATTTTGAAATTAAGCTTATATTTATAATTTTGATATGGAGAAAGGCAGGTGGATCATTTGTTTCCAATGTCTGTTTGTTACATGTTCCTCTCTTTTGCAGTAGTGTTACATTATCAGGTTCTTTTGTACAACACCACGGATAGACTATATTTGATAGTAACTGATGTTGTGGGGAGAATCGGAAGAAGATTTGTTCTGTATCCCCTGTTTGTCCCTGAGGATTTGAAGCAGAGATAGCTAGCTTTGGTTCCTTTATTTTGATGGACCCTTATTCCTCAGGGGAGGAACTTGTTGTTAAGGTCCCTTGTTTTTTTTGTATGACTATTAACTTTTGGTTGATAAGCTGTTTATACAAGTCTAATGATTGTTGTTGTGTTATGGCAGACAAGGAAACCTTATACAATCACTAAGCAACGAGAGCGATGGACGGAGGAGGAGCACAATAGGTTCCTAGAAGCTTTGAAACTTTATGGGCGTGCTTGGCAGCGCATAGAAGGTCAGATTACGTTCATCTTTCATTTTATTTGTTGAAACCACACTATGTAGCCTAAGTATCTTTCTGATAAATATCGTTTGTGGCAACCAGTATGCAGATAATCGATTAGTGCACATGTTTGTGAAATACACCTTTGTTTTTGCCCCCGTCAACTTAATCTGATAACTTTTGTGATGTTTCTTTTATCATTTACAGCTCAATCCACTGGATATCCCCTATTTCAGAAATTGGGGTCAACATTCTATTCTTTTTGCGTCTATGCATTCTCTTACCTTGAGGCTTTTTTGTGGTTGTTTATTTATTTTGTTATTTTTCTATTGTGCAGAACACATAGGAACTAAAACTGCTGTGCAGATCAGAAGTCATGCGCAAAAGTTTTTTACAAAGGTCGTTAGCTACCTTTAACCTCATGCTTAATTATAGCATTTACTCGATTGTTCATTGTTCCATGGTTTAATTTTACGTGTATCACGCTTACTTTATACACTTAATTATCATTGTTTATTTTAAATCAATTGATATCTTTTTGTGTAATTGATACGAATAACTAATATCAATAGTGGCAATGATCTTCAGTCTGAGTATCACCTATGATAGAAAAACTTCCACATGCTTCACCCACAATTGTTTGTGTCAGGCACAAGGGTACATGTTGAAAACTTAATGGAATATAAATAGGAATATGAATAATTGTCTGTCATGCCCCAAAAAGGAAGGCTGTCACTTGGTGGCTTCAAATCCCACCAAGGGAACCACATTAAGATAGCTACCCTAAATCCCTCAATGATAGGTCAACGTAAGGGTCTGACATAAATATAAATTCGACATGAGAGCATAATTTCTTATTCAC